GGATGTGGCTCTGGGCAGCCTGGGCTGCTGGCTGGCGACCTGCACACAGCAGGGGTTGGAACTGATGAGCACTGTGCTCCTTTGCAACCCAGGCCATGCTAGGGTTCTATGAAAGGGACCCTGAAGATCATCGAGCTCCAATTCCCTGTTACAAGAGGTGGTGGCTGCAAGTTGTGCCAGAGGAGGTTCAGGTTTGATGTCAGGAAAAGATTTGTTCTCAGAAAGAGTGGTCAGGCATCAATACAGCTTCCCAGGGAGGTGTGGGGGTCACCACCCATGGAAGTGCTCCAGAACCATGGAGATGTGGCACTCGGGGACGTGATTAATGGGCACGGTGGGGATGGGTTGGGGTTGGACTTGGTGACCCTACAGGTCTTTTCCAATCTTAATGACTCTGTAGCTGTTAATAACCTCCTACAAGCTGTTGCAGGGGTTGGATTCCCAGTGCCTCCCACAGAAGAAGGCTTCACTTCACAGGCCAAGTTTCCCATCCCCAGAATGAAGCGTACCTTCCTCTTCCTTCATTTTCTTCAGGTCATCCTCTCCCACCAAGGAGACACGTTTGGGAGGTTTGTCCACCTGCTGCTGCTTCACCTCCACTTCGAAGTATTTCTGCCTCTCACGGAAGGACCTCTGCTCCGGGCTGTGCAGGCTGCTCTGCGTTGGCACCTGTGAAAATCCACAAAGCTCACAGAGTGACCGAGCCAAGCCCCAGCCTCAGCCCTGTGCCTCAGCCTTGTCCTCCATAGCACTCCCCTCCCCCTTCCCCAGCATCCTTTCTCCGTATCCACAGTCCCAAAAGCCTGAATCCTCTCGGAGCTGCTGGCCCAGCTCCTGCTCCGGCCACCAGACTTCACCTCTGGGGCAGGTTTGGGTTTCTCTGTGCAGTTCCCAAGGACACTGAGAAATGGGTAAGCACTGAAAGGAGGATTTTCTGCCATCATTCCTTCCCCACGACCGAAGGTCATCAATAGCAACATTCAGAGACATCACTTGTTGGAATGGTAAACCCACCTCAAATTTAATTCCAAGAAGTGGAAACTTCGCCGTCGAGAAAATAAATCCGTATTTCACAGAATAAATAACAGAATATCAGAAGAACAGAACTATAAGGAGTAAAACAAACCGACCCACAGAATCCATTTGTGAACCAGAGATTAGAAATTGTAAGGCTAAAATGAGAACCGCCAAGAATTATTACAAACAAGACTGTTCTTTAGTTATATAAATGAAAATGAATCATAGGAGGAGAGCAAGCAGACCTTCAGTTTCAGCTTTGCCTTCAACCAGAATGAAGGTTCTTGGAGCAGATTTAGCCTGGCCCTATAGCTTGGAAGCTCAGCGGGTTTCTTTGTATCAGAACAGCAAGGTTAAGGCAGCACCCTAATGCCCTGGGAGAGCAGTGCTATGAAAAATAACGAGCCTTACAGAACTGCCCAGGTTGGAAAAGACCTCAAAGATCACCGAGTCCAACCACAGCCCAACCATCCGACCCCAACCCTAACAGCCCTCTGCTAAACCACGGCCCTGAGCACCACATCCAGACGGCTGTTAAACACATCCAGGGATGCTGACCCAACCACCTCCCTGGGCAGCCACTGCACTGCTCAGCAGCCCTTTCTTAGAGAAGTTCCTCCGGAGATCCAACCTGAACTCATGGAGTCCCCAGTCTTGGTTATGAGTCTCCAGTCTGAGTTATGGGGTCCTCAGTTTTGGTTATGGGTCCCCAGTCTGCATAATAGGGTCCCAGTCTGGGTTATGGGGTCCCCAATCTGATTTAGGGGGTCCCATGGGGTCACCAGTCTTGGTTATGGGTCTCCAGTCTGAGTTAATGGGTCTCCAGTTCAGGATATGGGTCCTCAGTCTGAGTTATGGAGATCCCAGTCTGACTTACTGGGTCTCCAGTTTGGGATATGGGGCCCCAGTCTGGGTATGCCGAGTGCAGGGCAGGACGACTTCCAGTCCTGCTCACCATTCCTCATCCCAGCCAGGATGCCATCGGCCTTCTTGGCCACCTGGGCACACTGCTGGCTCACACTCAGCCCACAGTACCCAAGGCTCCTTTCCATCAATGCTCCATCTCCTCTGTGTTCCACCACGTGGGTGACGTTGCCCCCAGCCAGCAGCACCTACCTGTGTCTCGAGCAGAGGGTGTGACAAGGGCACTGCTGCAAAAGTCTTGTATGCTTGCTTGACGTTGATGGGAATCTCATCAGGAGAGGGTGGTGACGGTGGCTTTGGCTACAGCAACAGAAACAGGACATAAAAAAAAATAATCACAGTTGTTATAAAAGAACAGAACACGGGGGAAACGCTTCAAAATCCTCACCCTGCAGAGCCTCAGCAGTGCAGTATGGAAGGGATCCTACTGCAGCCTTGGGCAGGAAGGAGAGCAGTGCGTGGTGTGTATGCCATGGAGCAGGACAAGCACCACAGCCTCATCTGACTCCTTGGCTGGTGGAGGAATCTAATTCTGCTGGCACGGATCTTCATCTACTTCACCAGAATTTCGTGAGCGTGGGACCAAACTTCACCAGAATTTCATGACCAAACTGATGTCACTGAAGGATTTCCAGCCAATTCAAGGAGCGCACACCCATCTGAATCAATGGGCTTTTGGAGCGGGGGTACAGTGGCACACAGTTAACTGAGAGCTCCTTCGGGCTGAAAAAGCCAAATTCAGTCCACGGGGAAATGAGGGAGAAGCTCTGGCCTTATCCAGTATTTCTGACTAACAGAACCTTCCTCGTTGGAAGGGACCGACCCACGTCACTCCTTTTTTCCTGTCTTTTCCTTCTCCCCCAGTGGCTGCTGTACTCCTGATTTGGAATAAATCCGTATTCTACAACTACGCAGCAGCAATTCTTACCCAGGCTAAGACTGAAATACACAAACCCTTCTTTCCCATCAACGTAAAGCCCTGAGAATGAGAACCTCTGAAAGAAAACCCATCGTTCTGCAGATCATCAAACTCCCTACAGATGATGCCAAGAGGCGAGGTGCTGA